TATTAAGAACAGGGCGTTTAATGCTGTTCTCTCACGGTGGATATTATCCTTCAGAAAACTCCATAACCAAATGTCACAGAGAGTGTTATCTGGCGAACGAGGAGGCCATGCTATTGGAAAATGCCAGCTGATCACCCATTCATCTGTGAAATGCTATCTTAGGCCCATATCACACGGTATTTGTTTCACACGAACAACTGTTTCGGACAATTTTTCTACCTGGTTTACTATTGAAAGAAAGACGCGCGGTTTTTTCCCTTCCTTTGACTTGTGTCGAATGGAAAGAGAGAGCGCTTTTACTCTGCATCAGATGAAAGAATGTCTGAAACAACAAAAAGATGATAAGAAGAATCGAGATGGTTGAATGGGATATTTCACTTAGCCGCCATCAATCGGCGAAGAAAGATGTTATGATTGAAAATAGACAAGCAGTGTGAAAAAAAGTTGGATAAGTAAGGTAGTAAGTACTTCAAATAATTAACAAAATGTTAGGTAAGAATATCCGAAGGATATTTATGTTTTTCTCTAGGAAAAGGTGAGCATCGCAAAGAACTGATACAGCTGTTTGGATGCAATAGTACAGAAGGGAAAAAAAATTGTTGCAAGTTTTTTGATAAAATTTTGTATAATATCAATTTGAAGATCTCTGTGAATATATGAATTTGGGATGAACCAGGGTGCATTAATAATTTCACGAAGGGTTTTATTTTGAATAACTTGGATCTTTTTTATGTGGGTTTTAGCGGCGTGTCCCCATGCCAGACTGCCTAAAGTTAAGTAAATCTAAGGATGGACTTGTATAAAACAATTTTATTGTTGATAGTCAAATTGCGATGTGCCGAGGAAAGGACGCATAGTAGCTATTGAGATATTGAATTTCCTGACAGTTTCGTGTAAATGTTGCCGAAAAGTTTTTTGTCAAGTGTGATTCCAATATACTTCACTTGATCCGTCCACTGAATATCGTCGTCAAAGAAGATGGGATTAAGCGGAAGGCAGTTTGTTTGTCCTTTTCTGAAAATAATGGCTATGGTTTTGCCAGTGTTAACGGCAGTTTTCCACAGCGTCATCCAGTTTTCAAGAAGCTCCAATATAGTTTTGTAGAAACATTTGTACAGTATTGATGGTTGAAGCTTGAGTTAGGATAGCGGTATCGTCGGCCAATAAGCCGATAGTAATATGAGATTCTTTTGGAATGTCTTGAGTTTAAATATTGTAAAGAAAAGAAGTAATATTAATATTTCTTGTAGTTGAGAGGGCGTTTCCAATTTTGTCAGCAAAAGTGCGATATCTGAGGACCCTTCCTTTCGGAAAAAATTGCAGGTTGTTCATTTTCAACCAATTAGCTATCAGCTTGTTTGTAATGAAGAACCAGTTTCGCCTGCGTTAACCACAAAGCGATCTGTGGGGATTGGCTGTTGTGACAAAACAGAAAAATTGTTCCAAACAGTTGTTCTTCCGAAGCAAACGGACGTGTGATAGCAGCCTTAGCAATTGCTTTAGACAATGTTCAGTGTGAAGAGGTGCACCATCCTTCATGAAATTCATGTCCTGAAGGCATCCACACTGTTGAAATTGTAGAATTACAAAATTTTCAGCATATCACTATACCGTTTTCCTGTTACGGAACAGGTTTGGATTCCATCTCTTCAGAAAATACGGTCCAATGGTAAAAGTAGCCATAAAACCACAAGGGATGCAAGGGTTATTTCTAGATAGCTTGAAGGTTTTCTGTTACTCAAATTCGACAATTGTGGGTGTCAACTTGCCCATTGGAGGCAAAAGTGGGCTTTATCTCTCCACAGAATGTTTCATGGCCAAGTGGGTCAACCACCATTAGAGTAAGGAATTGAAATGCAAAAGTTTTACGAACCTCTGAGTCCCCATCCTGCAAAAGGTGAACAGGCTTGATTTTTATACAGATAAAAATTCAAAATCCTCCGTTAGATTTTTAGTGCAGTGGAATGCGGCATATCCAATATACGAGAAACAACTGGCATGCTCACCCTACCATGTTAAGGCTGACTGCTGGCTTCAACGACAGTGAAAGCCACAATTTTTACCCTTAGAGAACTGGATTTGCTTTTATCCTCTACCTTTAACAGCAGGGCTTTTTCTTGCAACGTAGGCATGATGTTCAGAAAAGTAACTAATGCTTGTGCAAAAGTCGCTTTCTTTTTATCAAAAGAATAAAGCTAATAGGCACGCACTGTAATGCAAATGGTGTTTCACATTTTCAATAGATGCAAATAAATACCATTTATATTATAACGCCACCTATCAACGGATTTTTGTACTAAAATTTTTGTATTTAGTTAAATATCAAGTGCATCATTTGAATTATTTGTAGTTCAAGTTTTATCTCATTTGAACCAATACCATGCATTCTAGAGCGCTCTGAAGTGAGAAACTATTTCTTGCTAACACTGTATTTGTTTTTCATCTGTGAGATGTATTAAAATAGATAATGAGCTCATTATTAGTAAGAAATTTTCCATATTCAGTTAAACTGATCATTTGTCAGATTTTGTTTGGGAAAGGGTTCCTTTCCACATTTTTAGAAAAAATAAAATTTATTAAAATGTAACAAAAATTGCATAAATATTTATTTGGCAAATGTTAAAATTTCTGAGGCATGATCAATATTTAATGTGCGTAATTTCTTAAGATATTAATAAAATTTTTGGTTTAATATATGTTATAGTAACATAAATAAGATAAAATTTTGCTGAAACAATGTTGGAGTCAAATTATGATATGAGATTTGATTATTATTTAAGGAAACCAAAAGCTGATTGGCACAGTCATTTATATAACAATAACACTAAGAAATAATGCTTGAACAATTTGAAATAAATAAACAGAAACAATGTTATAGGGAACAATGTAATATAATGTTCAAAGAATTCCTCTCAGAGTTTGTCTTTTTAATGACACCATTTCATCTCAGCAATCTTTCATTTCAGCAATCTATATTTGGTGGCATATTAGCTGAGTGAAAACGTCTGGAACAGATACTATTTCAAACGTTATTAATTGTAATTCATGGGAATGAGATCAAATAATATTAGTGCTAACTTTTATATTTTTATATGAACATTGTCTTGTTGCAAAGGAAATGTCCGATTTTAAGGACTTTTGGAAGAAAAGGGGGGGAGTTTAGAAAAGAAAACCAACTACTTAATCAGAGTAATCTTCAGCAGCATCAGTGCCTTGTTGCCTGTGGGGCAAGGTCATTTATATGACATTTGTAAAAATCAGTGTGTGTGGAAGTAATGAAGTCCCCTGCCTGTTAAATTGATTCATCTTTGGCAAAGCAGTTCGTAAAATCAATCAAAAATGGCTCAATTGTCAGTAAAAATGCTTATCTGGAGAATAATTAGGATATTATGAAGGAAGAAGCACAGTTTATGGTCCAGAGTATTGATTTGCTCCATTGTTCACAGTGTCGTATATGGTCTAACTATTATTGACAATGTCATTTGTGGTTTAGTGTTATACTGAAGCAATACTGCGTCATGTCTAGTTGCTTAAGGCACAATTTGTATCGGTACAGAATGGACCTTGCGTTTATCGTTTCACCTCGGGAGAGAAATACGTAATGAATAAAGCTAGCAAAAGACCGTTAAATGGTAAACATGTTCTTTAAAAGTGCTTTTGGTATCCTTTCTGAAGTTTTTTTCATATCCAGTCGCTCCACGATATACGATTGTCGAACGTATACCATTTTCATAAAATATCCACTTCTCATTCGCAATGGCAGTTCTTTGCAGGAACCTTACTTAAGTAAAGCATACTTCCAAATGCCGTGCTGTGTTTTCATCTGTGAGTTCTGAAAGCCATTTGTCAATTTTCCTTTCTTATTATTGTTAAGTGCCTTGAAACTGTTGAAAGGTATGCAATTTAATGTTTGGGGGATCTCTTGGATCTGATTCGATTGAATATTTTAATTGATTCGAATCAACAAAAGTGCAATGACACGGGATTCGTTTGTAACTTCACATCGCCTAAGCGAAATTTTTCAAGCCAACGGCGGTAGATTTTTCATTGCTTGTTCCTCCAACGAATGCTTTATTCGTACTCTTTTTTTTTTTTTTTTTTCCTGCAATACTGCAGAATTCACAGGTGAAAGTGATAGCAGTTTAAATTGACTGGTTTCCATGTCTTGTTGTCGGTAGAATTCAGAGTTTAATGTTCATTGAACGAAACTGTAAGATTCCTTTATGTTAATTAATTAATTATCTTATGTTTTGGATCTTTAACATTACTAGGTTGCAATATTCAGATAAGATTTTTAATCTTCGGCATTGCATTATAATTGCTAACAGTTGAATATCCACACCATCCAAGTTTTGAGCCATTAATTGCTATGTGTAGCCTCTCCTACTAGCTTGTTTAAATTAAATTTTACATTTGACTTACTGTTACGTTAAGTTGTATCACCACAAGGGTTGCCTGAGTGTAAACACCTGAGAATGGAAGGCTGAGTATGTTTTCTGTTCTTATTTAGTTTTAAATAAAAGATCTCTTGCGCCCTCAGTTGTTACTTTAGACCTAGCGATAATTCACTTGACATCTGCCATGAATTTGGTCATTATTGAATGATTGCAAGATACACCAAATATTATAAAATATTACAATTGTATCAATTCGTGTTTCGTGGTTTAGGGGGAACTTCCCCTTGATAAGTCTGTCTCCTGCCTGCTCAACAATTATTCACTTATGCAATTTTTAGGAATAATAAATTTAATTTTTTGGGATAATATATTTTTTCATGGTTAAGATAAGTGCAATTAATTTACATATGCTCTTAGAATTTAAATGATATTGTAAATTTGTTCACGGCAATAGTAATTATTTTTATTTTGATTTCTTTGCAATTAAAATTTCTTAGTTAAATTAAAAATTTTAATTTTATATTTGCTTTATACAAATAGAGAATTTTATATTTGCTTTATACGAATAGAGAATATTTGTTATATATAGATATATATTTTTAGCCTCTTACCCAGTGGACATCTTCGAATGTTGTGGAGTGGATGGCTGCTCTCAATTTGTATAGGTATGCTGAGTTATTTAAGTCCAAAGACATCAAAGGAATTGATCTTATGACACTTGACAGAGATAAATTAATGGTAAGTCTTCTGTTGTTACTGCTGTCTAATTTTTTATGCGTTTAGGTATTTCATTGAGATTTTGGATTAGCATATTGATATTCACACTAACACTCTCTGCTCAGTGTTTTTTTTTTTTTTTTTTTTTTTATTTATAATGAAAATTAGAGAGTAACATGCCACCTTCACTCCAATGAAATTCCCTTTGCAATATTATTTACCATGAAAGCCATGTTTATTAATTAAGATTGCTTCTTTTTTAAAAATTTGATAATGAATTTGAATGCTCTTATTACATATAACAATGTTTTCTGAAACAAAACTATCCCAACAAAAATTTGTAGAGGGAAGAAAAAAAGTTAATTCTGATTTTGATAAAAGCAATGTTCATAGTCAATAATCCAATCATCAGATATATTTCTTTATAATACCAACTCAGAAATGCCATATTAGAACCATCATTTAGAATCATGATAATGTCATGTTAGAATTGTCATTTAATATTAATATATAAACTTTCCATTATGATTCCCACAGTTAAGTGAATCACACTGTGATTTCATTTCTCCCTCTTGTTTATGCTGAACCATTGTAGATAGTACTTGAAAGTTGCTGAAAAAGTTCAACCTGTAAATATTTTTTAAAAGGTTTTGTTACTGTAAGATTTATGAATGATCAGTTTTCTGTCTGTAGTGATGGCAAAAAATTTTGAAGCTAGCTGATAAAATAATAATTGTTCCTATCATTTTGCCAAAATTTATTTATTTGTTCTTCAATTAGTATTAAGATCCATAAATTTCATAGTGTGCAAGTGCTTAAGAAAGCTCTTAAACTTCCCCAAATATATCACCATTTGATAAAGTCTAATTTGTATGATATTTTCTGGTAATTTTTAATTTTATATGCATGAATATTTATGTATAACTATAATAAGTATTTGTTTAATTATTTGTCTCTCTCTCTCTTTTTTTTTTTTTTTTTTTTTAGAATATGGGTATTAAAGATGAATTTCATCAAAAAGCAATTCTTGTTTGTGTAGATGATCTTTGTCAAAGAAATAACTTAAATGTAAGTGTAAGTTAAAAAATTATTTCATTAAATTTTTCTCATAATTTTTTAAAACCTTATTTTAGTAAGAATAACTGGTTAAGATGTATACACGAATATTATTTTAACAGCATAAATTTTAAAATAATAAAATTATTTAATTTATAAATTCTTTATCATAGATTTATTATTATAGCTGCAGTTTACTTTTTAAAATTAAGTGTAATTAAACTTTTTACTATTATGTGGTTATCTGATGAGTTGTATTTATACTGTTATATATTTTTATTGCAGAATATGTGTGCTATTTATTATCTGATGATTTATATTGTATTTTTATATATTTTTATTGCAGAATATGTGTGCTATTTATAGCTGTTTTAAATACTTTCCTTTTAAAGAGGATTATGCTTTTTTAATCATTTGAATGGGATTATAATAGCTGTCAGTTCTGTCATGCATTAATTTCAAAAATATATGTTTTGTTAATAGAATTTTACATATTTGTTCATGCTAATTCTTTGAAATGATTACTAGAATTAATTATTTTTGCTGCATTTCAAAACTTCAATTTGCTGTGTGTATATATAGAAGTGAATAATGCAGGAAAAAGTAATGTACATTATTCATCATGAAAATAATTTGTTATTGAATTTCATTTTCTTACAGAGGTCTCTACACGAAGCAAAGGCACAGATGGGCATATCATATAGAGATGGTAATATGTTTTCTTTGCTAAGTAAAACTCAAAGTCATTCTGTGATATTTTCTAGGTTTGCTATAAAATATTATGTATTTTGTATCAGTTGTAATATTGTCTATATCCAGTTACATTATTTTCTGTATATTTACAGGATCATCTCCTACTGGAAATCATCAGCTTCTTGAACAAAGTTTCTCATGTGTTCTGCAGTGTGATAAATGTCATAATTATCTTCATGGTTTGATTCACCAAGGCGTAGTATGCCAAGGTAGAGAAAAAGTTTTTTTATTATTATTATTATTTGTTTATTATCATTGGGGAGGAATTTAAGTTTTAAAAAACAAATTGTATATAATTTCTTTTTCTTGAATTTTCATGCACATCAAAATCTCAAAATCTGTAGTCAAAAGCATTCATTTTCTCATCATTTTAATATCTGAACTATTGATTTATGTTATGTGTTTGAGAGCTGGTATCAAAAAGACAAATGTAAAGCTATCCAAGTTCCATGTGGTTCTAAAATTAATTCTTTTTTTTTTTTTTTTTTTTCTCTGAAAGTTTTATCCAATTCTAGTCATACTTATCTCTAAAATAAAATCTCTAAAATAAAATGTCTTTTTTTAGTGACTTTAACTATATTCTGGAACTTACTTTTAGTGTAGCATAAGAAACTGCTTTTGTGCGTTATGTTAAGATATAGATGAGGGGTCCTCAACCAGTGTGGAATTTCATAGTTTCAGGGAGAGGAATGTGGTCAGCCATTTATTTACCCATAAAGAATTTTTTAGTTTATGAATATAAAAATTTATTTTTATTCAAGTGTTAGTATTTATCAACATTTTCTACACTTTTTCTTGTTTCATTTATCAAACATATTAGAAAGCAATCTAAATTAAAATAAATAAATATGTATATTTTGAATTTTGGAAAGGAGAGGATAATCATCTAGCAATGGTGAAATGGGTGCATGGGGTAAAAAAGGTTGATGTAGACGCACTTGATCGAGTAATCAAATGTGTTTTTAATTCTGAGATTAGATTGAAGCATATGTACAACATGCCTGATCCAGTGATATCTAAGAGAAGTTTTCATGATGATCATGAATATTTTGTTACTTTTCACTAGGAAAGTCAAATCTTCAGGAATTTTTCTTTTTTCCAATAATAATTGTAGTAAAAATTATTCTTGAACATAAGTACATTTTTACTTTTTTGAAATTGCAGGATTTACTTAAAAATTGATGCAATACAATGGAGTTTTAAAATTATATTCAATTTTAAACTATCTTTCATCATATGTGTAAAGCAGGTGAATGTCCTGTTTAGAGAAGTGAAAAGTTAACATTTTTTTGTTTATTGTTATAAGATCACAGATTATCTGTTTATTGAATAGCATTGTTGATTATAAATAACCAGTTTCTTTAGAAGTACGTGAAGGTAGTTTGTATACATGCATAGGAGAACATATGCTTAAACAGAATTTGTGTAGTATTACTCTAATATTTATGAAGGAAATTAAACATCTTCTCTATAGCATTTATTGCATAGGTAAAATATTGCTAGGTAAATTTAAATTTTAATGAATTACTTGAAATCCTAATAATTATTATTGAATTTTATATGCAACAGAATCTGAATTCATTTATTAACCTAATCTTGTGTTTTGAGGCGAATGGAAAATTCATTAATTAACCATTACATCATGTATTATTAAGCTGTCTTCCTAATATGATAAACTATATCAGTTAATAATTTTAGAAATTATATTTATTTGGTACTTTTTAAATTCTATAACTGTTTTATAATTTAAAACATTTTGGTACCATTTGGTATTAAATCAGTATTTTGAAATAAACTACTCTGTTCTAATATGATATATATTAATATTCTCTTAGAGTGTGGCCTTATATGGCATCGTACTTGCGCAGCAACTGGCCTACCGAGGTGCAATACAGACAATATAGAGAAAGCTAATCGTAGAAATTTAATATCAGGTATTGTGACTTTTCTTCAGTATTAACTTTTTTGAGGTAGTGTCGGTTCATGGGAGGAAAATGAATGCAATTACAGTTGTTGACTGTCATTCTTATGCATATAATTTTCCCTTTTGTTTATATATAGCAATATTTGGGAAAGATTTAAGCTATCAATTTCTGCCATCAGTTCAAAGTGCTCCTCTTCTAGTCCTTCGATGTATACATGAGATTGAGACTCGTGGTGCTGCTGTAAACAGTAAGTAATCACAAAAGTATATTTGAATCTCATGAAACATGAATTTTTTTGTATCTATTTTTAATTTGCATGATATCATTTCTTTCATTCATGATACAGCCCCTATATGCATGTAATCGCATCTGCTTGCGGGGCACTAATTACGTATTTTCCTGAAACAATCCACTATAAAGTGTACTTGAATGTAACATACATTTAGGTATGAGTAACATTAAAATAAAACTTTTTTGGAGGGATAGTTTTGTTAACCATTTACAGATTGACATGTTTCAAAAATAATTTGGAGTATGCATTAAAATATTTTTTATATTCTTGAACAGTTTCACATTTTTGGTCCTTTTTTTTATTTTTATGCACCCTTTGGATCTCCTTTGAAGCATTTATTTGTGGCAGCAAAATTTATTTAGAGATTTTCCATGTATAGGTTCTTTCTTTGTATTTAATCAAAAATAATTAAAATTAATTTTGTGTCATTAAGCTAAATTTTTGTAAAAGGTTTTTGGTGTGTTTTTTGTTTGGTTTTGTGTTTTTAATTTTCAATTAAGGTTGGATAATATCAGTACATTTAGTTGCTTTCTACTATTTTATAAATCTTAAGTAAAGATACTCCAGTGTACAATATAAATAAATTTGCTTTCCATATTTTTATACTGACCATGTTAAAATCAACTGGATAATAAATTATAACCAAACTGATTACTAGAACAGCATTTTTCCATTTATGATGTAGTATAGTGCTGTCTGGTAACTGAAGTACAGATTTTTAAGTCCTTTGCGCACTGAGGGCTTTTAGTAGGTTGTTTTTGAACAGAAAATTCAGATTGCATATTGCATGTATATATCTCCATTTGGAACAGTCTTAGTAAGTGACAAATTATTCCAGAGCAAATGATCAGTTTTTTTTTTTTTTTTTTTTAAATTAAATCTGTAATATTTGCAACAGCAGTGTGGCTTTAATAAAACTCAAAAGCTATCTAATGTTGTTGCATATATAAACAAAATTACACAGGACAACTGAGAGATCTCACATTTAATTTATTTCACTTACTAGGATGATTCAAGTGAAGACCTTGCTTATTTACAATGAGACAAATAAATAAATGCAGAAATTTGTACATAAGCATTTTTCAGCATAGTTCCCACAAAGTGTAATGCATGTATTCCAGTTCAAGTTGCAGTTCCTCCTAAGAAAAATTCTATTTGCTGCATTTGTAACTCCATCAGAAATTCTTTCCTTCTCCATCTCATTCATCCTTTAGAATATGTAAATTTACTAATGAAAAAGTGAATATGTGAAATATTCAGATATCATATCCTAGATTATTGTAATCATTAAATGGGCAGTGTGCTATACAGCGTTGGCATGCTGTAACATACACTTGAAGCCCAAAATTTCTTGTGTACTCTTGATTGGAAGGCGAAGGGGATTTCTGAGTGGATCTGCATAAAAAGTACTGGTCATTGTTTCTCTCATTTTCATATAGCATTCCAAAATTACTCCATTTGCATCCCAGGAGAAAACGAGCATGATTTTTTCTGCTGATAGGATGAGCTTCTCCACAGAAGTGATGTCACTTTAGCTGCTTTTCAACTTTTACACCACTTGTGAACTTGCTTCAGGGACACATACATGAATCAGCATGTTGTGCTTTCTTTCTTCAATGAATTTCATTTTTTAATGCCTTCTGCACTAAAAAAATGCATCACAAATTGTTTTGTTTCTCCAATGGAATGCATGTTGACAAGGGAGCAGCTGTCTTTGCATTGGTTGACTTTTCTTTCTTCTTCAGTGATGCATAGCCCAGCAGTAGCTGAGTGGTAAAGTTGCTGAACACTGTAGTTCCAACCTGGGTTTGATTCCAGGAGAATGAGCTGGCTGTATGGGTATTTTTGTGCTTTTCCCCCATGTGTAATGTGTATGTGAGCCAGTTTTCCTTCCAAATCTCCACAAAGGCATCCTTCCCTTTAGGCAGATAGTTCTCATGCGCTTTTCTGTAATTAAATAAACCAAATCTTCAGTGATGCAGCATGATGTTGCTATAGTTGATATTTTTTTGAGCCACTAGAATAACTCCTGGTAACTTACAAATCATTTGTAGAAATGTTATTGTACTTTGGAGATTTTCATTTGAATCACTTATGCATTATGTCATAGGATTTAATAAAAATAAAATCCATTTCAAATTATGTAAGTTAAATATTCCTTTTTAAAGAACAATTAGATTACAAGAATTATAGTACTTTTATATCTTATACAGAGCATATAAAAATAATTTCTTCCTTGTTATACAAAATGAATTTTGTATAAGATGTGCATATAGCCATAATTCAGAAAAATTTACTTCATTGAAATGTATAATAAATTGTAATATTATTGTAAATGTGTAATTAATTAAAATGAAGGAAACACTAATCCTTCATGTGGCATGCTTCATAAAGAATTCTTCTTTTCTGTATTATGCAGCTTGTTCTGTAATGATATTATGTTATGAATTATGCATATGTAACTAGATTTTTTAACTTTTCAAAAATTTTAATTTATGCATGGGTTTTATAATCTGATTCAAGATTTAAATGTATTTTTGGTCTTTTTCAGATGTTGACTTGTACAGAGTGTACAAAACATCTGCACAAAGTGATATTCTAGCTGAATTACGTCAGAAACTTAGTGAAGATGTAGAGCGCACAAATTTAGCAAACTATGAGTTACATTGCATTGCCAGTGCCTTAAAAAAGTACTTACGAGAGCTCCCAAATCCTGTTTTTCCTGTTCAATTTTATGACAAATTCATCGAAACAACTAGTAAGGCCTCTTCTTTTAAAATAAATAAAAATTTATTGTAATTTGAAAAAGAATATTTTGTGTATATTTTCTCTTTTTTTTCTGTATTCTGTCAAACTTGCTGCAGTTTTCATTAAAGCAATTTGTCTCAGTCAGTGTGAAAGATTTTATCTGTGCCTTTCAGTTTTGGAAAGCTTCTAAAATTATGTGTTTTTTTTTTAATGTTGTTGCTCTTAAATAATAAATGTTTATTAAGAGCAGATGCTATAGAAAAGGAATATTTGTGTGACTCGCACACACAAAAAAAAATTGAAACATTGTTAATTTGTTTAAATGTTGGTTGGAGAATTGGAAATTTGATTGTTCAAAGTATATTTTACTTGCATAATTAATACTGTGAACTATTACATTTATCTTAACAGTAAAAAAGGGAATTAAATGTTTTCCAGTCTCTGAATTTTGTTGTTATTTAAATTTTAGAATAAGATGTTGCTAAATTATAATATCTATATGAGATTTATTTCCTCCATAATTAATGTTGCTATTTAATTTGATTATAGTTGATAGACAAAGAATTCTGTTGGCTGGTATAAGTGTGCATGGATTTTTTTCTGTGTGGGTTTAGAATTTGGTGCATTTGTTTTTATAATTTATTTTTTAATAATAATTAATTTCAAGAAGCACAGATTATTGAGATGATGTAATCAATTAATTTCTCAAAAAAAATATAAATACTATCTAAATATATAAAAAAAATATAAATACTATCTTAACCAAAGAAATAATTGTGCTGTAGCAGTGAAAATATATTCTAATTAAATTATATTAAATGCTAAAACTGGTTTTTACGAGTTTTTTACTTTTGCATTTTCATATTATGTTGAAAGGTCATAATTTAAGTATTTAACATAATTTAATTACAGTATATATACCCAAGGTGTTCAGGGGAAAAAATTTGAAAAAGAATGGTACATAAGTTTATGTGTTTATTGCATTGCGCTTTAACTCCCTCTGCAGGAGTTAAGTCTGCTGTGTGCCAGTCTTCTTGGTAAACAAAAATTTGAGTTCTTCTTTCCAACTATGTAAGCTACAATGCTATGTGTGTATGAAAAATTAAATGTGTGTTGTTAAAGCATCCTTAATCCTTATTTCATGTCAAGCTTTGATTGAACTAAAAAAAAATGAGGCTTGGGAGAAATGTTTTATTTATATTTATCTGGGATAAATACTTCAAATGACGTATTTGTGCACTGCTTAAAAGTTGTGCTGAAGTTATCATGAAACGTCACTTATCAGGTATGAATAGGCTCACTTTTAAGCTTCTCATAACAGTGAAAATATTTTGATTTGTTTTTTTAAATTTATTACAAGTATTTAATTTTAATATTATATTCAACCTTCAACATACCCACCTTAGACATATGAAACTAAATTTTTGTATTTGGTGACTATTATTCATAAAATTGAACTAAATAATTGAGTATCTCTTAGAAATTTCTGTTTCTTTTTTTTGGGGGGGGGTGGACTTATGGGAATCAGGTTTTGTCCTTTCATCTTGTTTTTTTCTCTGAATAAATGTGTTTAATTGATAATAAGTTAAATGAACTGATATAGTATTTCAACATATATTACTGCATGTCCTCTTCCAGAGCTTAAATTGCGTCGGAGTCGGGCTGCGGTGCTTCTTAGTTTTTGTGATAACTCATAATTCTAGACGGAGTGCATTGGAGCTCTAAATAAGAAGGCTCCAGCACTTCTTTTATGTAACTGAACAACAATTTCAGTAGAAATTTTGATCTCAAAAATTTTATTTTTAGCAATAAACTTATATTACAAATTGCTTATTAGTGCAAAAAGTGTTAGCCCAGAAGGCCTATTAATTTCATTTTGGCATTTTGCATTGGTTCACTATAAAAGTCAGTTACTTTTCAAATAGTTGCCACCAAATATTAGAGCCCTGTGTTATATTTAAAGAAATTAAATAATGAAGAATCTCCATAAATGTTGGTAATTTTCTCACATTGTGATAAAACAACGGTACCTAGAGCCATCAAATTTTGAATAATGTAATCTTCCACTGAATATGCACATGTGGAAGCCTGAATTTGGAATTTGAAATTAATTTTATTATCATTTCATATTTTGTAACACTTTAACGAATTTTTAAATTAACAAATTCAACGATTTCAAGGCAAGCAATGGCAATACTCTTCGAGGAAAAAAAAAATTTATCTCCATGCAAGACAGTATGCAACCAGCAGCAAGAAATTCTAAAGATATGCTCATGTGATAGTGCTGTTGAATTTAATTTTATGGTTTAAATGCGAAGAACATATATTTAATAATAATAATAATAAAAAGGTAGCACACCAGACGTTAAAAAATGCCCCTTTAGGCATAATGTAAAATCTAAAAGCTTTCAGAATTTTTTTTATTTTTATCTCTTTACATTTTTACTTAATTTTAATAATTATTTAATTACTTTGATCTTCAATTATTGTAATAAATACTAATTAATTAAATACTAATTAATGAATGCTAATTTTAATTAATTTAATAATAATTAACTATTTAATTTTTGCGTTATTAATGATTTTAATAGTCATTTTATTTATTTATTTACACTTGTTCCTCTTTGCTGACGGTCTTCCATAGGGCTCTGGGACTTCTAATTTTAGAAGTTAAGCTCTGTTCTCTTCCTCTGTATTTAGGGATTTTTATTTGTATATAAATTCACACTGGAAAGGAAATATTTTATTATTCCCCCCCTCCACAATGGATTTATGAGAAAATATTATCTTCTCTTTTGAACTCTTTTCAAGTTTGATAACTTAAATTACCAACAATTGATAATCATTAAATATTTAAGAGCAGAGAAAAACGGGTTGTATTATAGTGTCACAGCTGTTATCTAAGTACTGAATTTCATACTATGGAAGCATTTATTTAATAAATGATTAGAGTATTGTTATAAAAATATAATTTATTTTATATGTTGCTTTGAAAATGTTCTTTGTACCAAATAATGGAAGTCTAATACTTTTTTAGTTTTTTGAAAAATTGTTAGTCTCTGGAATCTTACCTGTCTGCATCAGTTTTGTGCTTGTGCATAAGTCTGTATTTGTTTGTTTCAGGGATTCGTAATGATGAACTTTGTGTGCAAGCACTCGAACAGCTTGTCCATCAACTTCCAATCCATCATAAATCAACTCTTCAAACACTCATGGCTCATTTTTGTCGAGTGTGCCGATTGCAGTATTCCAGAGGTATCAAGGAACCTCCTACAATTCTTATCCAGGTTCTCTGTCATATTCTTCTGAGGCCACCTTGGGAACGGATTGTGTACGTTAATTTTCTTTAATCATAAAATATTTGTCAGTTTGTTTTTTTATTGTTGTTTTGTTTTGTTTTTGTTTTTTTGTTTTATTTTAGTTTTTATTGCATTTTTAAAATACTTGAGTAGCACTTAGAAGATTATGATAAAATAGCAATTATCATGCATTTAACAGCATACAATAAAGTTTGCTTTATTTATGTTTATTTATTTTTAAAATAAATAATGATTAAGATTGCCACTTCGATATTTTGCATTTCAGCCAGATAGTTTATAATACAGAAGCTCATATCAGACTAGTTGAACTCTTGCTATTAAAAGGAAAGTGGGGAGAGCACATGCCTGTTTTTGACTCTGCTCCAGGTAGGGCTCTTTTTCTTACATGAAAATATTCATGCAGGTTAACTTGCTGATAGTATTTGCAGTATTCATAATAATATTTTAAATATGTTAAATAACTTTTATTTTCACTTGGAATTTTTCAGCTCTTCCTCCTCGTCGCATTTCAAAAATGAACCAGCCATTCCCAGAAATTATGATGCATGGAGGATCAGTGAGTATTTCTCCAAGTAGTAATGACAGCATTCCACAACGTCCTGTTGAGGGGCCAAAAAGTCTCAGTGATGCTGAATGGTATTGGGGTGATATTACTAGGTAAGGCAACATTGTATTATCTGTTGAAATAAAAATTTTGGCTTGTGTACTGATCTAACAAAGGATTATCAAACAAAAACTTTGTTTTGAAACCAAACAGTTTTAATAAGAATTAGAACTAAATAAATGTGTTTTTTCATGTTAAATAAATGCTGTCAGTTGCATTCATCACACTGTTAGTGATTAGCAGTCCTGGTTGCTGCATTGTTAAGCCCAGGTTTGAATCCTTGAAAAGGAATAGATGTTCAATATGGTGTCTGTGCTGCATGGTGGCATTTAAAATACTGTCATCCGGCAAGTCCTTTCAAAAGATTTGATGGGAGAGTTCTCTAATGTATTCTTTGACTTCTGTATTAAAATTAGGGTGAAGCTATGTAGTTAGTTTGCTAGGACTATGCCTGTACAGCCATTAGTAAAAATCTAGTGATCTGCCCACCTCTTGTCAGTCAGTTGCATCCTAAGATCCTGATATGGATAATCAGTAATGTGCCCACTAAAAGGATTAGAATTTGGATAAAAATCAAATTTAAAATTACAGTAAATATGGATATGATTATTTTATTGCTAAAATTTTGGAAAGAAAGCTACTTCTGCATAAAGAATTTTATGTGACAGAAAACCAGTAAAAGCTCAAATAATTTTTCTCACAACAACCAAACTGAGGAAAGTTTTCTGAAATTCAGCAATCTTGATCCAATATTTGTTGAAGTGATTTTGATTACAGATGTTTGCAAACATAAGCATAAAAAATTATCTCAGGTAATTTACTAAAAGTATAAGCAAGACCTAGAAAAACTGAAAATTTAGCTTCTTTTTGTATAAAATTGTAATAACAAAGTAGAATAAATGTTATGATTACAATTTCCGTGTTCGTAATTTTTAAATTATTATTTTGACATTTATCTGTGTAACTAAAAGAAATTAATGTTTATTTTCCAGTATTATATGGCCTCTTAATATGTAGTGCAATATGCAGATTTTTAAAATGGCTGTAATACATGCTGAAATTTTCTTCTGTAGTATCTCATTGCTTTAAGTTTAATATGCTGGCAAGTTTATACACTGGCTTTCAAATTTTAAACATGTGAAAGTAATACCAACAAAAATGAAAATGCAAAGTTTTGATTAACACCAAAATGCACACAAAGGTAGCAAAATGTATTTATGCACTACGGAAAACCAGCTTTATTTACAAAAAGAAAAGCAATATTTAATTTTTATAAATTATATGTGACATCATGTGTAGTTCATTAACAAATTGATGTTTAAGGCTATAAACAAACAAACCTATATCAATAAGGTATTTCACCACCTCGTACCTTTGTGCAAACTTTACAACAATTTCCCATCCTTCACTGAGGTCATCAACTGGAGATGCTAACAATGGCCAATCCTCTATTAGGGGAATTTCTAATTCTCTGAGACTGGCTGAAGAGGGAAAACATGCAGAGGGAGGGTACTGGAGGACATCAAAAAGAATTCTGATGATATTAAGGTCAAAGGAATATGATGTCCACTTCATGCGAGAGGCTCATACACTCCACTCTTTTAGCTCAATTGAGATGGTCATTATCATCCATGAGGAGCAAATTAGGACCAGTTGCTGCGGTGTAGGACTTTTCACTGTGGCTGATTTGCCATCAAGACATATTTTTCTTTACAAGACTGTATTATACCCGTATTAAATTAATTTAGTTTAATAATTCTGTGTACCTTTTGTATACTTAATTTACAAGATATAAAGAAATTACACAGAGTTGGAAAATTATGTTAAAGAGAACTGGGGCTAAACTTCTGTTGTAACAGAAGTTATATTATCGATTTTAAAATTATGTGGGTACAGTATTTACTGAATTTGCATAAAATTCTTGAAATTTTAATTGTCTAGTTCAGAGAAATCACTCATACAATGGGGAAATTCACATTTTTATAAAATCTCAATGGAAAACAGTACTACTTTGGAATCTTGTCAGCACATTAATCTCTTAAAATTAATATGTCATGTGTAACAGTGTATTTTTATAAAACTGTAACACAAAAACATTTTCGAAAATGCTTTTGTGTTGAATTAAATTAAATTATTAAATTAAACAGAGTTATTAATTTAAATCAACTTAATATAATATGCCAAGAAATAATACACTCGTGTAAAGAAAAATATGTCTTGATGTCGAAACAGCCATGGCGAATTGTCTCTTTCCCGTTGCTGCAGCATAGTCACAATAAAGAGTGCGACTAGATTTTGATGAATGTGAATTAGATTCTGCAGAATCCCAATAACATGCAGCCGTCACAGAGCAATCTTTAAAGATGTACAGCTGAGCTAGATATTGCGATGAATTTCCTGTCCGCACCACAATGCAGTCAATTCTGAGTGCGTGATGTTGATGATATTCTGGGCCTGATTTCAGGTCCCTTGTTCTTATTGTTCTCCCCAGACCCTTACATGCTTATCATCTGATTCCAGGGAAGATCTGAACTCGTGTCAGTCTGAGACAGTCCAGTTGAGAGATTGGTATTCAGGCATGCAGACCCTTTGTGTGAAGCCTTCAGTGCTCAGTATACTATCAGATATTGTCTTAACAAGTAATACTACAACCATGGATGTAACAATGGTGGAGGTCGTTCTTGCTGAGTTGTGGATTTCTTTTGGCTACTGTAGCAATATGCCGATTTTCAGAAGGGGTGGTAACCTTTGGCTGACCATGGGCAGGTCTCCAGACAATTATCTGACTTGTGGACTGTTTTGACATCCTTATTTGAACTGAAGCAGCCAGTATATATCCCAGAATTTGAAATGCAGATATGCAGGACATAGCCACAAAATTCTATCCGAGCTGCAAAAGCATTTCTGTGAGTGTGGAATCACTCATTACACTACAAGACAAGTTTTTTATGTAAGAAGAGTATTTCTGACAAATAGATTTTCCTTCATTAACTTGCTTTTATTTGACTTATCCTTTTATTTTACAGCATTATTCTACATATAAAAGAGTTTAAAACTGAAAAGAAGTGATACTGAAGCATTAAAATTTCAATATACAATACATTTAACATTTTCAGGGAGGAAGTCAATGAAAAATTAAAAGACACTCCAGATGGCACATTCCTGGTTAGAGATGCTTCTAATAAGGGTTCAGGAGAATACACATTGACTTTAAGGTATGTATTTGTATTCTGATGTCCCAGAATTTTATAGAATTTGAAATGGTGTGTGTAATGTAATTCACAAGTTTCATTCTCACATGTTATTTTATATGATTTTTTTGTATTTTGCATAATAAACCCTGTGAATTATTGACAGAGATGGTCTTCTTGTGAACCTTATTTAACCTTTTCTGGATAGATGTCCTATATATGCATTCCATTGAACGTCTCTCACAGCCATGTGTCCCACTTGTGCATCACTGGAGAATGAGCTTAGGGGATGGTGATGCATGTGTTCATTTTAAGCTCAGCCATTTTTTAAAGACAACTAGATGGCACCTTGTGTCCATTACTTTTGAAGTGAACATAGTTTTAGGATTCTGACCTTCAGTTTGATCACATTCTACCTAATTTTGATGTCAGCTGTTGGGAAGGAAGGGAAGCTTAATGTAAACATACAGAGCTCGGCACTTTAACTCATCATGTGAGATAAACATTTGTGTTTCTGATATCCCTTCTAAACCTTTTTTTTTTATTATTATTATTCTTTTCGCTACTGTATAGGATCTCTTAAGGTTACTATGTGGGGTTATGTTATGCTTTGTGTTTCAAATATATTTCGCATACTTCCCTTTTTATTTCGGAAAGTCTTGACTTCAAATGATTATAGCAAGCAAGTGCTATTTATCAGAGGAAGGATATACTCGCATGGTAAATGAACCAATTAGTGACATGGGTGATTCCTTTTCTAAATAGTTAGCGATTTTTCTAGTGATTCTGATATGGATGCTTTGTTACAGACTGAACTCACTGAGTGCCTGCCTTTCACTTCCTGAGAAAAATTTTACTTCTTCTTCATATAAATAGACTTTTTTGTATTTTTTATTACTTTTTAGGTTGATCAATATATTTTGCCAATTAAAACTTCGAAGTAACTTGAATAGTGCTTCCAAAAATTGTTTCTCAAAGTGAGCAATTTTTCTGTATATATTTTCATGTAAAGTGAGGAAAAAGCTTATTAAATGCTAATTTTAATACAGTACAAAGTCCGAAATCCGGACTCATCGGAACTTCAGCAATTCCGGATTTGGGATTTTTCCGAATATTAGATCATCAGTTTAAATCTAGTAAGATGGCATGTAGAAATTATAAAATTAAAAATATGAAATCGTGATTTATGAAATAATAAAGTATTTATGATCTAAAGGGTATAAACATTTACAAAAAAAAAAAAAAAAAAGCTTAATGTTTATTTGTTTACCTTGTTAAACATTTCTTTCAATGTAAGTTGTTTAAGTTGCTTTGTTTTTTGTGCTAATACTTTCGCTTTAATTCTGTAGACAGACATAATTTTGAAGTCTTATAACTGCTGTTTCGAGAATTGCGGCTAATTTGTCAATTGAAATTTTCTTGTTTTCAGTAACTTTCTTTGATATCGATTTCTGTCACTTTCTTCACTATCGGTAACGATATTTTCTGGACTTAGAACCATACTACAGATTTCGCCATTCATTAATTGAATTGATGATTGAGAAGCATTGTCATCACAATGAAAAACTTCTTTTATATCATTTTCATTTATTACCGCTTCTCCATATTTCTTTACAAAATCCGTTAATTGGAAAATTTCACCTTTGTTTTGGGATATCCAAAAACCTTTAAAATTAGCGGCTATTATCATCAAATTTAGCTATCCTTCACTATACATATTTGGCTATGCCTCATGAGCTTGGCGACTAACAAGTTGTTCCATTAAATTTTATCTTGCTTTTAGCGTGCACTGAGATAATTAAGCCCTGATAGTTATTTATTATGCTTATGTCTGTTTCTTGCATATGCTTAAGGCTTATCAGATTTCTGAATAAATAAATTCTGACATATACTTATTGAGGTACAGCACTAGATATCTTACCGCCTGATGCAGTCTCTGTGGGTCCTAAATTCTGTGACACGGTATGGCTATACGAGCCCTGGCGCTGATTCTGGTTATATGTGAATAGCAAATCAGTTATTCTTAATTAAAATAGCCCTAAATGTAATCTTTAGGTCAATGGGTATCATCAGCAAAATCTATTTTTAGCATACGGAAAGAAATTGTTGTTAAATTTTTCCTCATCAACATTTTTTAGCACATTTAACTTAAATCTGTGATCATCACCAAGCGTAATGTCAACATAAAAGGTTACCATACTCCTTTGTTATTCAATTACTAACATAAATTGTTTAGGCATCGCTACATCAGTCATTACTCAGGTTGTCATATGTTTAAACTTGCGATGATGAAAGAAAAGTATGATAAATAATAATTCGCCAGGTTGGCATCAGATCAACGATGTATCTATGTGGAATGTTTCAGTTTGAGATGTGTGCCAAGCAGATACGCAGCAACAGAGCCATTACTGATAGTACAAATTATACTAAAATGATCGTTTCTTCAATAGCAAGGTATTTTATTTAGTGTCGAAGTGAAATTAATAATCGGGACTCTCCAAACGTTTTATTATGTGCAGAGGGGGCGATCAAATGCACATGCTTAACCCTTTTTGGCACGCTACCTTTTAAAGTCGGAGTTTTGATTTAAAAAAAAAAAAAAGGTTGGCAGTCTAATTAGGCCTAGAGGAGTACACAAGTAAAATTTTGTGAAGATAGCACTTATTGTTTTAATTCTGTGGGTGTGCCCAAAGTGGCACACTGATTGAATAAAGCTCCGAAAAGAGTGCTGAAATGAGCATTGTTGCCAATGAACTGACCGATGAGATGCAGAGAAACAAAGAATACAGACTCTTAGTTGTCCTAGATTATCGGTGAGCCCGGTCTGGGCACACCTAGGGTTCACCATTTGATTTTAGGCAAGATTTCAAGGTAAAATTTTTTAACTAATATAGAATAAGGAAATTAGCATACAGCCAAAAAGTAACATAGAAATTTCTTTTCAAACAATTCCTTTTATACCCTAAAAAAAATGGAAGATTTCTTTGAAAAATGAGGGTCTAAAAAAACTAAACATGGTTAAAATATATGAGCTGGTTTGTGTTGAGCTGCCATCTACTATAAATAAGGAAGGTTCAGAGTAACCTGTAAATCCTTTTTCATTCAATTTTTCTGTGCATACAGAAGGAAATTTTTAGGTGTGTCCACACCGGACATACTGTGTCGCAAAGGGTTAAAGCCTACGAGAAAAAATGTTGTTGGTGGTTTTGAGGTATGGATTTTAGATCGTTCCGGATAATGGACGTCCGGATTTCGGACTTTTTACTGTATATATGATAGCTTGAGTAGTTACCTAAAATGGGACCAAAATATTGTGATGTTTGGAGTTAAACTTTTGTTTCTGATTTTTTTTCCTAAACTTAGGCTTAGTGATGCAAAACCCTCATCCTGAGGGGCGATTTCTTTCAACTCATATCTGTCCTGAGGGAATGTTGGAACAAAGGCAGGTTATGTTAAGAGGGTTAAAGTACACAGTTATATCATTCCAAGTTAAGGCGTGAAGCATATATACGTTTAAATATGGAGACTTCTTCAGTCTGTTAGCATAGAAAGTATTTGACAGACTAGCTTTCTTGTAATAACTATTTGTTCTCATCTGAAATTATTAGCTTTCATTTTTAATTTTACTTATGCAAGATTTAAAGTTTGAGTAATCATCTTCCTGTCATGTGTTGCAATGATATGTTGAATACTGAAAGCTTAATATATTAATTTTTGTTTTTAATTAATAAAAATATTTAAGGTTTTCGAACAATTTCCTTATTCATAGTAATGTTGTATTTTCTGCTGAAGTACAACAGCATTTTAAAAATCTAGGCTGCTGGTATGTAGTAAAAAACAATGATCTTTCTGAAGAAATATGACTGACTTCAGAACATCTTAATAACAGGAAGTCAGTGATTTATGTACTCAAGCACTGCCTCAGATTTTAAAAAAAAAAGTGATTCTGTGTTTGAGAACTTTGTATTTTCTCACCTACTTTCCTCTCACCTTTTACAAATTTTACTGCTCAAAAACTGAGAGGGGGAAAATATATGCAAGTAATTTAATATCCAAAGATGTGATTATAGTAAGAGCATAAAAGAAATATGAATAAGCTATGAGTAACTATCCTAATATTATTTATTCATGCGAAACATACCAGTATATACGCAGTAGTATTAACATTACAATATCTTATAAGATACTATAATTTCTACTTTCCCATATCCTGAATCCCACCCATTATTATAGTATACTGCTACTTCCCAGGCCTAAAATCACTTAATGTTATCCCCATTATCTGCTACAGCTTGCCAAGTCATCACCATCATCTTTGTCACCAGCAGGCTGCCTTGTCATATGTAATAATGATCCTCAGAACCATTGAGAGCATTAGATATCTTATTTTCTTGAAGCTCTTCAGTATAATTGCTTCATTTATGACAGCTCATACACCCAAAATCCACCAGAAAATCAGTTAGTAAGATATAAACAACCATCATGTAAATGAACTCATTTTTTAAATTCAGGAACTATTTGAAGAAGTTGAAATTTATGAAAGTATATAAAATTTTCGGAACCTTGTGCTAAAATATTTAAGGTGGAAGTTACGCAAAAGGGGAAAATACACATGGAAATATGGCACTGCTTGAAAATATGTATGTGTCTGAGTATAGTTTTTATCTGTGCCTATTTAATATAGTACTATTCTCTAATTACTTAAAGTAGTGTAAAGAATCTCTTCTAATTTATTGCATTGTTAAATCCTTGCAAAGGATGGTAATCTTATAAAAAGATGTTACATTTAGTATTAACAGGATGGGAAGTAAATCCGTGTAGCCTTTTTTTTTTTTTTTTTTTTTTTTTTTTTGTTTGTTTGTTTGTGTGTGTATGTGTTTACCATGTTTCATTTATGTTTTATGTTTGCAGTCATGTCATTTTTAATCATAGTATATAAATATTTATTGCAATAATATTTGTTTTTACTCTTTAACAGGAAAGGTGGCAGCAACAAATTAATCAAAATATGCCACAGAAATGGCAAATATGGCTTCACAGAGCCTCTGATGTTTAATTCTGTGGTTGAATTGATCAACTACTATCATAATGTGTCCCTTGCTCAATATAATCGCACATTAGATGTCAAATTACTCCACCCTGTATCAAGATTCCACCCTGTAAGTTTCCATAATTTTACCTGCTTTTTTAATCGTTTGATATATATAGGATAAATATGCCCTGTACATCTCTTTAATGTGTTCGAGTTTTGTGGTGTTGCTGGCCGTGATCGTATAAAAGTAATTATACTAAGAGTATCAAATGCGAATTAATTCCATTTAAATCATTAAACTAAAAATTTAGTGGTTAGTACATTGCATGATTATTAATAATAAGAATCAAATGACTTACCCAATAAGGCATGCATGAGTCAGTACCTCTCTTTTAAATATACATTTATTAAATCACAAAAACACACATTTCTTGATTAGCCTAGATAAATCACAAAAACACACTTTTCTTATATTCGATATGTTATAAGAAAAAAACACATTCATGAATCCCCTTCGGCATGTGCTACTCGTTAGTCCTACGGGACTGTCACAGCGTTCATTTTTTTTTTCTGTATACTGTAATTCCTAATCCTCTAGCATCGCTGGCCCATTACTTATCAGCATCTTGCAAGAAGCTTAATTAATATGCAGTGCAATTACTCGTGATAGAAGAGATCAAATTTCTAGCAGATAGGCTTGAAATTGGCGCACATGGTCGTCACTTCGAAACATCCAATTGTCAGGATTATACACGTTGAGTCACAGCACAGGAACAATTTTTTACCTCGCAGCCTAATCAGTAAAGTTTACCTGATTTCTTATATTCTTCGTACAAGAACATATTTTCTCCTCCATCCTTGAAAATGGACCTCAGATCGAGTACCGTGGATGATGGCGAGAGCTGTATGTGTGTGTGTGTGTGTGGCCCGAAGGTCCACACACTCGTTAACACGACGACAGGCAGAAAGAGAAAGACAAAACCAGTCCTTCCAGTTTTTATCCATTGCGATGCACGTGGCAAGGCGTGATAACGATTTAAGAATCGATACAGCCACCGTGTTCACTGTGAGAATATTCTGTCTCACATTCCCTCCGGCCGAAGAAAAAAAATTTTTGTCCGAACACTGGACAAATGCAATCCCTCTCTGCTGGATACACTTGAACTTTCATCAGCATCACATACACATTTCACACCAATCTTTATATCACTTGCAAAGGCACTGCACTTTATCATTTCGTTGGCACTATATAAACATTTAACATTACACGCACACAGTTGAGCTCTCGTATGCACTATACACACATAATTCACATTAATTTTTCACATTGCTTGAAAAAAAAAACACAGCACTTTGAACACTTTGTGATACACATTTTTTTTACATTCTTAAATTAGTATTATTCTTTTACGTACTCATGCATGTCTACTCTTACCTAAAATATCACCACAAATGTGATTCCATCAAAGAAATTTTGACATATATCATTTATAACTCACATGTGATAAAATCAATTTATCAACTACTAATGATATTGCATTATCAATTTAATGTTCCTCTTAACCATTGTTTACCTTTGTTACATTATCTCATTCTTTACATTTTAGAATCACATGCACTATTTCATTACTTAGCTACTTTTATCATTTGATCATATTCATTTCACATATACCTTTCATACACCAATGTATCATGACATTGTTACAAGCTACATTTGTATTAGATATACTACTAAATTACATAACTTCAATTTGATTCAGCAGTAAGACAAGGAGATTAGCACCACACTCTTTGTTTTTTAATCTGCTACCTAGTAATCAATGATACCCTGCATAGTACAATTCAATTCTTCTGGTATCTGGACCAGCCAAATCTACCAAAATAGTGCAATTAGTGCTTTATTACACTAAATTGACCCATACCACACATGATCATCATTCATTATCTAGCTTGTACACATGCTACATTCTTATCATAATCACAACTTCTTAACACTTTTTTTTTTTTTTTAACATATGCAATTTTCAACTTAATCTTTCTTAATGATTCATATCAGATAATCACAAAATTTAAAATTTTATCCAATCATTACTAATATTCACCTATTTGATATCAGACATAATCACAAAATTCAAAATATTTAAGCAATTATCAATAGTATTCATACTGGAATCACATGTGTAGTTATATTTTTAAGCATAAGCATAAAATGGTTCTCTACCTGAATTCAAACAGTTAAAACTTAAATTCAACTTCTCTTTTTTTTTTTTTTTTTTTTTTTGTCACGGCACCATAAAGTGATGCCTTTATTATTATTATCCTGGTCACGGCACCATAAATGTGTTGTTGCTGGCCGTGATCGTATAAAAGTAATTATATTAAGAGTATCAAATGCGAATTAATTCCATTTAAATCATTAAACTAAAAATTTAGTGGTTAGTACATTGCATGATTATTAATAATAAGAATCAAATGACTTACCCAATAAGGCATGCATGAGTCAGTACCTCTCTTTTAAATATACATTTATTAAATCACAAAAACACACATTTCTTGATTAGCCTAGATAAATCACAAAAACACACTTTTCTTATATTCGATATGTTATAAGAAAAAAACACATTCATGAATCCCCTTCGGCATGTGCTACTCGTTAGTCCTACGGGACTGTAACAGCGTTCATTTTTTTTTTCTGTATACTGTAATTCCTAATCCTCTAGCATCGCTGGCCCATTACTTATCAGCATCTTGCAAGAAGCTTAATTAATATGCAGTGCAATTACTCGTGATAGAAGAGATCAAATTTCTAGCAGATAGGCTTGAAATTGGTGCACATGGTCGTCGAAACATCCAATTGTCAGGATTATACACGTTGAGTCACAGCACAGGAACAATTTTTACCTCGCAGCCTAATCAGTAAAGTTTACCTGATTTCTTATATTCTTCGTACAAGAACATATTTTCTCCTCCATCCTTGAAAATGGACCTCAGATCGAGTACCGTGGATGATGGCGAGAGCTGTATGTGTGTGTGTGTGTGTGGCCCGAAGGTCCACACACTCGTTAACACGACGACAGGCAGAAAGAGAAAGACAAAACCAGTCCTTCCAGTTTTTATCCACTGCGATGCACGTGGCAAGGCGCGATAACGATTTAAGAATCGATACAGCCACCGTGTTCACTGTGAGAATATTCTGTGTTCTCACAAGTTTTAAGGTAGCAACTGACCATAAATAACATGTGATGCTAAAATACTTCCTTAGTAATCATGTGATTCTTTAATGCATAAAATAATTGTGTTTTGTTGCGTGCATATGGGTTTGTAATGGATTGAATGCACAAGTCGATAAAAAGTTAATAAAATTTATTCTTATCCAAAGAAATAAAAAAGTGCTGAAATTTCCTCAGAGATATTCATACAAAATCACAATATCTCACAGTACTTAAATTTTAAACTACTAAAACGCTAAATAGAACACAATTCGAAACAGAGAAAGCTACTCCAATCTCACCGTGAATTCACTGCAATCAACAAGAACTAAGTAAACAACTGAACTGAAATAGTTTAATCTGGCTTTTTAATCATGCACGAGAACATTCTGGTATTTTTGCGATTTTTCTGGATAGCAGAAGGGTACAATTACGAGATATCTATTTATTAAACGTTAACTGCACCTGCTCCTGAATTTAAAATTTTCCGGCATAGCTTTCTTTTCAAATAAGTCTTGTGTTTATATTGCATGGTGATATAAAACAATTTTAATTAATTCTATTAAAAATAGCTAAATAAATACAAAATCCATAACGGTATATTTGTCATGTAATTTAACTGAAGTTGTAAATAACACATTTGGAAATAAGATTTTTTTTAATGTGTCTGTGTACTGTTAAAGCTTTACCCAGTTGTTTTTATCTATTTCAATTTTTAATTTTAGACTGGATTTGATGAAGAGGAATCAGCAGATATTGAAAAGGTGGGTGAAAAACTCATGAAAGTTAATCAAGAATATCTGCAAAAAACTAAACTTTTTGATCAGTTTTATGAAGACTTTAGTAAAACATCACAAGAACTTCAGTTAAAAAAGCAAGCACAAGATGCCTTTGATGCGACATTATCCGTGTTTGAAGAACAAATGCAACTCCTGACAGAAAGTATCAAAAGTGCTGCACCTTGTGAAATTAATCTGTAAGTGTATATTTTGTAATTTAATTTATATATTAAGTGCCTTATTATGTGTTTAGAAATCAGAACTCGTTGCTTTTATTTATTTGATATTTTATTCTGAACTTATTTATAGACTTAGAGAAAATTATGACCTCCTAAATTCCCGCCTGCAAACACTCAAAGAGAGTAAAGATCAGTTGGATATGGAACTGAAGCATCAAGCTGCATATAATAGGTCCTTAGACAGAGAAATGAATACTTTAAAGCCTGAAATCATGAGGTTATATAAACAGCGGGAAGATTTTTTATCGTAAGTAAATATTATTCATATGACAAAGTATAATTAAAACTGTGTGGCAAAAAGTGTCAAAATTATGCTGTGTTGAGGGTACTTCATGAAAAGCTAAGAGTTTTTTATTATTACAGTAAAAGTCCAGAAAGATCCGCAAAGCTTGGGGCCAGAGGTTGAACGGATTGTAGGATTTTGTGGATTTCATGACAGAAAAGATAAATCATAATATTCAGACTAAAAGTGCAAAATAAATAAGGCGTATTAGATACATTTAATTAATTATTATATACATTATTTCAATAACTTATTATATGCATTAAATTATTATTACATGTATAAATTGATTATATTATTCATTGTATTATATATACACAGCATCGAGGTTTGCCAATTTCGCCTCATGCAAAGATTTCCGGTTTCGGATTCCGGTGTTAGAATCACGGTTGCTGTAAAATTTCAACAGCTTTTCTTTATTTTTCCGTCTATCATACACAATCGTATCTCAATTACATACGATTCTGCTATAAACCGAGAAGTAGCACCTGTCTCCATCTTTTGCAGAATTTGCACTTTTTGCATTACCGTCAATGCAACGTGTTTACGTTTTTCAACATTGCAAGCAGTAAAATCATGAGTGCATTTCTTATCTGTAATTGTATTAGAATGGGCTGAAATTTAACTATTCTTAATTTATCCACAAAATATCCGGATAAAAAAAAGGCAGCACAAAATAATCTCGTGAAATAACAAAGCTCAGAAAATACAGCAACGTGAATCGTGAACTTGAAAGAATTGAGTGAATCGTCTGCTTTCTTACATCGATGCAGATTAGAGGGGAAAAAACTTTTATTATGATGTCAATAATTTGGTATTTCCGTTATTGCTCATTATTTTTTGGTAATTATAACGTCATTATTCAGTAAGTATTTTTTCTTCGATATTTCTTAACTCAATGTTGCGGTTACTGGAACCTATAAACTGAATGTTTATATTTTGAGAGGCAACGCGGATTTCAGGAGTTGGTGGATTTCAGGTCGGCGGAATTTTGTTATTTGACTGTATTGATTTATTTTATTTTATTAATTAATGGGAATGGAGAACTTAGTCTTTAACATATTTTTATAACATTTTTTTCATATATACAGGAGGATACTGGGCATTGCTGTGTCTCAATCATAATCTAAAATACAAGTTCTTTTTAGCACAAGGACTTTAATTTTGACCACTACAAGACGATGTTTCACTTTTCAAATTGCTGCCACCAAATGTTAGAGCCGTGCATTATTTAAAGAAATTAAATAATAAAGAATCTGCATGAATGTGTATATGTTTCTCACATTGTGAAAAAAACAACAGTACCTCGAGTCATGAAATTTTAAATAACCTTAGTCCTCCCTCGAATATGGGCATCTAGAAGACCAAATTTAAGATTTGTTTTATTATCTATTTTATATTTTGTAAGTCTTAAGGAATTTTTGATCAACAAATTCAATGATTTCAAGGTGAGCAATGGAAACACTGTACAGAGTAGGATTTGAACCATGGATCTTTCATTTAGCTTGTTGGTTGTGCTTATCACTTATGCATGAGAGCATATAGTATGATAATTCCTTATACTGAGTCTGTTAGATTTTTTTCATGTGAACACTATGAGCATATTGTGCTCATGTATCAAGGCCATCTTATATACATACAGTGTTTACATATTTTTACGAAGATTTCAATAAGAAATTTTAAAAGAAGCAAATATTTTGAAATAAAAATTTCTGGCAACAGCTTATTTAAAATGATAAATATTACTTGCTACTTTTAAGTTTATTCTTCTTTCAAAATCCGCACGTAAACAAGCCGGGGGGGGGGGTAAGAGCATGTCGTTTTTGCTTTCTGAAGAGAAATATTCCTATTGCATAATTCAAAAAATGTTATAAAATACATAGAGTTAAAATTTTTAAGTGCAAAACAGGCAATATTATTAATTAGAAAACGATAAAATCATCAATCATTACTCCAAACGAACATGGAAAGAAGACTCCAAATGACTATCCAAAAAAGATACATACTGTTTCAAAGTTAAATCATTGGTAAAAAGAGAAAATTTGCTAACACAGTAATAATTTACTAAGTCTTTAAATACATCTGTAGCAACAATAAATAAAATAATATGCCAATATTTACAACTTAAACAATGTTCATCAATTTATGATAAGGTGCATGGTTCATTACAGAACAATTTGTAGAACTCCATATGAAAACTGTTTAGCAGGAGATAAATGGAAATGTGATGACTGCTGAGGAAGCATGGGTTTATCTAAATGGCTGCAACAAATGATAGTTTGTTAACTATCGAAAATAAAGAGAAAATTGTACAAACCTGGTTTTGCCAATGCAAAGAAAGTTTCAGTAAAGAGTTTATGATTGTGGCAAGATTCTCTTATAAAGGGAAATTAAAAATTAGAATGTAAAAAAGTATTAAAATCAGCTCAGCGTACTCTCAAGAGAACGTTTTATGTCCGATTTTTACAATTTATGATAAAAACTCCATTTCTTTATCCTAATAGCTTTTAAAGAATTAAACTCATCAAAACTAAGCAACAAATCATACTTCAACAAGTACCACTGCAATAGCCATTGTAAGCGTTGCTCTGCAAAGCCCTAATCAATTAACCTAACTTAACCTTTGTTAAGGAATATTCTTTGATATCGCCAAGAGATGGCATTAGGAGTCCATCTATTGGCTTACTTGACCTTTCCCCTTCTGAACACGTGACTTGAAAAAATATTCTTCTTCTTGAAGGTAGAATTTCGATGCACTACGCAATAGAATTCGATTTAGATTTAAGCTGGAACTATTCAGTTATTGCCTTTTGAGCATTAAATATTCGATTCAGGCATTTTAGCCAACATTGTATATATGTAAATATTAAGCTTAATTAAAATTTATGGAAAACCCTCCAGGCCATGCATCTCGTCTATTGGATTATGAGTGATTCGACTTTGATCTAGAACTTTCGTTACACCTTTCTTCTATCACAGAAAAGTCTTTTTGTGATGAATGAGTTAAACGCATTATATAGAAATTTTTGTTAAATGTCAATCAGTCAACTTCTTAGAATGGCTGCAGTAATTACTTCCTTCATTTTCATTAAAAATTTAGGATTAGCTTTGACTGGCATTCTTTAAAATATGCCATGTTGCATAGCTAAATGATTTTTTCCTTCTTTTTGCTTCTTTGTCGTCTCCATTGTCAAAAACATCCAATGTATATAAAAATTAAAAGTTCTTCATTTATTTCTTGCCAATAACTAGTGGCAGTTGATAGGATGAGGTTTATTTAATCAAGTAATAACTCAGAGAAATGCATCAATGTAAATCTTAAAACTAGGCAAAACAGCAGCCTTGCATTAAACTGCTGCGTTTATGTGTTAAGCTGGGTTTAAACAGGCTAAGTACCATCTCCAAATCGATCAGCTGCTTTGTTGATGGAATAAAGTAAAGTATTCTATCAATTTCGCAGGAAAACAGGCGCAGGTTCCTCTTCATCAAGAGCGCTCCTGGCAAAGAGGAACTTTTACCTGTTTGTCAACAAAAGCAATACAGATTTGATTAAAATCTATGTCAAATGCAAGGTTGCTGTTTAACCTAATTGCAAGTGATAGCTCTTAGTGTTTAATTTATTGTTTCAGATGTGTTATTGTAATTCAGATATAAATTTCTGTTTCAGGATGCTAAATGCAAGAGGCGTTAACAAAGATAGAATTAATAAACTGTTGCAAGATTCATGTGCTGAAGCAAAAGACCTTATGAGGTTAGTATCTTTTATTTCTTAGCTAAGGAAATAGTTAAGTTTTTTATTGTTATTAAATTTTTTGGAAATTTAGTTGAAAAGAATGCTTAAAAACAAAGGATTTCATACAGTTGTAGGACTTTTTTTTTCTTTTCCAAATAACCATTGAGAAATTAATATTAGCGTTTTTCTCCAATTTTCATTGGCCATTTAAAAACTTTTGTGTGGTTTATATTTTTCTAGGGTATTCTAATTAATTTATAAATTTTCTCACCATATTTGTATGCAATAAATTACTATTAATTTTGCAATATTAGTTAATAAAAATATATACATCAAATATTCAGATAGTCTTGTAAGTTATTGCATAATATATTTTCTGATGATAAATAAATATGTATGCAGTTTAGGTTGATAATACAGTAGAATTCCAGAAATTTGCAAAGCTTGGGACCAGAGGTTGTGCGGATTTTAGGATTTTGCGGATTTCAGGACAGAAAAGATAAAGCATAATATTCGGACTAAAAGTGCAAAATGAATAAGGTGTATTAGATACATTTAATTAAATTATTATATACATTATTGCAATAATTTATTATATGCATTAAATTATTATTATATATATAAATTGATTATATTATTCATTGTATTATATGTACATAGCATCGAGGTTTGCCGATTTCGCGTCATGCAAAGATTTCCGTTTTTGGATTCCGGTGTTAGAATCACTGTTGCTATAAAATTTCAACAGCTTTTCTTTATTTTTCCGTATATCACACACAATCATGTCACGATTCCATACCATTCTGCTATAAATTGAGGAGTAGCACCTGTTTCCATCTTTTGCAGAATTTGCACTTTTTGCATTACCGTCAATGCAACATGTTTACGTTTTTCAACGTTGCAAGCAGTAAAATCACGAGTGCGTTCCTTATCTGTCATTGTGTTAAAAAGGGCTGAAATAAAAAATATTCTTAATTTATCCACAAAATATCTGGATAAAAAAGGCAGCACTAAACAATCTCGTGAAATGAAATAACAAAGCTCAGAAAATACAACTTAAATCGTGAACTTGAACAAAGAGTTGAGTGAATCATCGGCTTTTTTACCTCGATGCAGATTAAAGGGAAAAAAAAAACTTATTTATTTTATCTTACTTTTTTTAACATTTTTATATCAGTAATTTGGTATTTCCGTTTTGACTCATTATTATTCGGTAATTATGATGTCATTAATCAGTAAGTATTTTTTTTTTTTCGATATTTCATATTCAATGTTGCAGTTTCGGAAACCTATAAACTGAATGTTTATATTCCGAGAGGCAACGCGGATTTCAGATCGGCGGATTTTCGGTATTTGACTGTATTCAAGAATTTTTAAATAGCTGTTGAAGTAGTTCAGTTATCCATTATACTTGAAGTAATTTATATATGACAAATATATATACAGTACAAAGTCCGTAATTTGAACGTCCATTATCCAGAATGATTTATAATCCAGACCTCAAAGCCACTTCTTTTTTTTTTTTTTTTTTTTTTTTTAGATGCGCGTTTAATGCACGCTTCCGATAGTGAAGAAAGTGACAGAGAGGTTATTGAAAACAAAAAAATTTCGTTTGACAAGTTAGTCGGTATTCTCGACACAGCAATTACAGGACTTGAACAGTGGAACTTTGTAACTGAACAAGAAATTATGTCCGTTTATAAAATTAAAGAGAAAGTATTAGCACAAAAAACGAAGCAACTTAAACAACTTACATTGAAAGAAATTTTAATAAAGTAAACAAATAAATATTAAGCTTTTTTTGTAAATTTTAATAACCTTTAGATCATAATTGCTCTTTATTTGATAAATTATGGTTTCATATTTTTAATTGTATAATTTCTGCATGCCATCTTACCAGATTTAAAATGATGATCTGTGATCCGGAAAAAAACCATAATCCGGAATTGCCGAAGTCCCGACGAGTCCGAATTATGGACTTTGTACTGTATATATACCAAGTTCTTAAAAATACACAACTTGAACTAAATCTAGAAACCATCTAAATGCAAGTTGTGCAGGTATGTGCCAATACATGTATTTGTATATATTGAATTCTTTTAGATGCAACATTTTGTTTTTAGTATTCATATTCAGTTTTATCATAAATTGTCACTAGGATTTATATTCCATCATAAGCTGAATGTTGTTTCTCGAAATATGTAATAAAATTATCTGCTGCTGCAGTCTGTTACTACCAGGAATAGACATTTCAAGGATATTTCTTCCATGTTGGTTTGCCTCTTAATCATAGTAATGACTACTGTAGAAGATGGTCAAGTCCTCTAGTTTACTAAAATCCTCTGTGTGCAGTGATGGTGACGTGGGTTAGGATCATAAATATTAAGAGGTTCATTATGACATAGAAGTGCGTAACTAAAAGACTCTATTGCATGATTAGTAATTACTTGTTTCTGTGCTGGTGTGGTTGGAATTAAGACAGTAAGTAGTCTTGTTTAGTGAAACCTTGGTTTATTAATTTGTTTGAAGATAGTTATTAAACCAAAACAGTTTTCTTTATAGGAATTATTGTAAAATGGATTAAACTATTCTCGGATACAAAACTATTGGTCAGAAAAAAATACTTTGAATGTAACTTTTTAGCATAAAACTGTTGGAATTCATCAAATCTAACGCATACACAATATTTAATAATACTATACTCATACAAAAATAAGAAAATTTGAGTTTAATTGTACCGTGTTCACACAAAGTTGACAGTGTAACTAAAAAATGAAGAAGAAGTGAAAGGTGCAAAATGTAACTATTTGAAAGGGAAATCTTATTTTTTAAAAATATCAGATAACTGCTGTTTTACTGGTTTACTCCTCTTTTCCCTCCCTTTCTTTTTCTCTTAGTATTGGTCACCTGTACTTGACAACCCCCGGACCTTTTTCCCATTAAAATTTGTCAATATGTTTGGCTTCTGTTGACATCTTAAAATATTCCTAAAGTAAGACTTGGCATTATAATTGCAAATATTTATGTTAAGGCTACACACTGTTTTCAGGGTGATATTGCTCCATGAACCTTTGCACGTACCCCCATTTTACTCAAAGTTTATGGATCAAATAACTAGGAACATCCTCTCTTCATTTGTTTAATGCTTTATTTGGTATCCAAGACATTTTCATTTGGAAATTTTGTTTGTGAACTTTTTTTTAACTCTAGTATAATTTTAAATGGGCAATTATTTCTTACTATTTTATTTAAAGAAAGTATATATATATTTTATAGCAAATGTTTCTGTAACTTTTCTTACTCAGCAATGTTTATATTTTTCCCCATTTTAGAGAAAGTGCTTTTCTTCAAAATGATGAATCACTTCCACATCATGATCAGTCATTGTGGTTTATAGAGGACCTTACCAGGAATGAAGCAATGCGCTTATTAACTGGAAAACCTGATGGGACTTTTCTCATTCGTAACAGCAGAACTCCTGGGCAGTATGCATTATCCATAGTGTATGCTATTTCATTATTTCTTTCTATAAAAATTATTACTGTAAACTTCAAAATTTTGTGTTAAGTATCATAGCCTGTTGAGTTTAGTGAATCAAGACTAGGAATTTTTTGAATCAAAAGAATTATATGAGAATTAGTTAATTTTAAAAAATTTAAAATTTTCCTTGCAGTATTGCTGAGTTGAAAATTTTTCATTTGCAGTAAAGAAAGCTAGCTTTTAAAAATTTTTAAGAATAGAAACTGCATTCAGTATTATTATTATTTTTTGTTGTTGTTCCTTCAGTTTTTCTCACTTTGTAGATATTCATCTGTTTTATCATTTATAGCCATAAAATATGGAAAATTTCCTTGCAAAACATTTTCATATTTTATGTTTATGATATTTTATAAATGTTAATCATATGTATAGTTACTGTAGTGCTTTGTATCACATTAGACAGTATTGTGTTGAAAAAAGGAGAATTCATCTTGCTAATAGGTGATGAAAATTTTATCAATAAATACATTGCAGTAATGTAAATATATTTTCTCTTGATTGTGATTTTCTTCGCAATATTTTCAGTTCTCTAACTTAATGTGAGGCCCACCAGCGGCCGAGCGGTAAAGTCACTGAACACTGGTAGCTCGGTCTGAGATTCGAATCCCACGAACGGGCTGGCTGCATGGGTGTTTTCGTGGATTTCCCCATGTGTAACATGTATACAAGCCAGTTTCCCTTAGAAAGTCCTCCATGAAGGCATCCCTCCCCTTGGGTAGATAGCCCTTGAGGCTTTGCCGTAATTAAATAACCTAACCTAACTTAATGTGTTGTGAGATTGGAGAATATATTACGTTTGACACATGTAAACATAGACTGGATTCATTAATTTAAGCAAAGCACATAAAAGCTACTAGTCTACGTTTCACTTCCCCCACCCCCCCACCCCCCCCCACCTTTTTTTTTTTTTTTTTTTTTTTTTTTTTTTTGAGAGAGAGAGAGAGAGAGCAACCTCAGAAGAATGGAATAAGGCTATATTGTGAATCAATGATCAATGTATGTTTTGTAAACTTTTTCCATTTCCATTAATATCTAATTTTGGATTTAAATATCCTATGCAAGAAACATACTGCAATTATGAAAATCTGTCTTGTCTGGGATTCAAAACAATGAATGGTCGTCCCCTCCAAACCACTTAACTATATGGGTTAGCATAAAGAATATGTTTTAATCAACTCTTTATATTTTTTATGCTTAGGTTTTTTAGTGATTTTGAACTTAGTGTTCTTAATTCAGTATCCGTAAGCATGAAATTTTTCTGCCAGTAATGTTTGTTCATGGGATTTACTATGAAAAGTTCATTTGTGTAAAATATACAAAATTATAATCTCTCTTTTTAGTTTGTTAACTGTTTCATTTTTATTGCCTTTCTCAATGAACAGTTTCTTCTACAGTAAGACCCCGCTTAACGCTGTTTCGTTAACGCTGTTTCGGTTTAGTGCTCTTTTATTTCAACCCGGGGATTCTCCGAAATTGTGCGCAGCGCTAGGTTTCCAAATAACATATCCGAAACAGTGTAGTTGTGTTTCTTGCTTTGTGGACGCATTTTTATCATTTGAAACATTTGTTGACATTATTGTAAGTTTAAATTTGTATAATACTATAACGATTAATACAGTGACAAATATTATATATTTTTATCATGGGTGATAATAAAAAACAAGAAAAGAAAGCAACCAGAAAGAGCATTTCACTGGAAACTCAAATGCAAGTGATTAGAAGATTAGATTCTGGTGAACGTCAATCTCAACTTATGCTGCATTGATTTTGGCAACTTCAACAATAAGGACAATTCTCAAGAATAAAGAAAAAATACTGTCATCAGCAACTGCAACTACGTCAAGCTCTGCAACTAGAATTACCCGTTCTAGAAATTACATTATAGAGGAAATGGGAAAACGACTGTCTATATGGATTGACGACGAAATTGAACGCAATATGCCATTAAGCCAATCTATCATAATGCCTTCTTGACAAAAAGGCAGAAAATTGGAAACCCAGAATAGACTGAATGATCTGACTGAGAATTTTATTTGTTTTTAAAAGTATATGCGTTTATATTGTTTTTATTTTTGTAAGAAATAAATGTTTGATTTTATTTTTATTAAAAAAACATTATTAAATTTAATGCCTAACCATTTTTTATCCGTCTTCCCCTAACCCCATTATGTACATGTTAAGATAGCCTCGCTTAGCGCTGTTTCGCATTACGCTCTACTTCGATGGAACGTATCCCCCGCGTTAAGCGGGGTCTTACTGTATCTGAAATCATTTGATCTGAATACATAAAGAAAAAATATGTAGTAATTAGTGTTATCAACAATCCTTGATCATTCAGATGAAATATTGTTAAGCTTTTTTAAAGTATTTCAATGCTTATAAAGTTTATGAAACTACCTAATTATAAATATAATTTTTATCCTACAGTGCTGATGGCAAAGTTGGCCATTGTTTGATATACAAGACTGAACGAGGTTATGGATTTGCTGAACCATATAATGTTCATCCAAGTCTAAAAAGCCTGGTTCTTCATTATGCTCAAACGTCTTTAGAAGAGCACAATGACACTCTAAAGACAACTCTGGCATATCCTGTTTTTAGTCTCGATCATTACATAAATCAAAGTACAAACTGCTGAAAAGACTTTTGGAGTTATGCAACCAATGGGCATTCTTTACTTGCCATTTTTATAGCAAAGTGAATTGTGATCAAATGTGTATCTGTATGTTGTCATGCCAATTACAAATTGATACACAGCCTCATTTTGTGAATAATAAATGTATGAAATTTTGTCAGTATGAATGTCACTGTGGTTATCCTTGTTCTGCTTGAGAGCTTGTTTAAGGATAGAAAATGAATAGCAAATCAGCATTTGCTTTTAAAACTAAATTATTTATGCAAAAATTTTGTAATGTATGAAATTGTATTAGATACTGTTTACACATTTTTAATTTATATTTTCATTAATCAGAATCACTTAATATCACAACTATAGCCCAAGCCTTTGATACAAATTTTCATGCACTTCAGCATCTCATGAAGCAAAATAATTATAATAAATTCGTCATTAATTTTTAACATTGTTTCTAAAAAGAGTACTGTTATTATGCTGTACTTGCATTGGCTTGTTTAATAATAATAAATGAACAAGAACTGAGGAATTTCTAAATTTTTATTCTTTCTAAATTTCTATATGTTCTCAAATTTAATTTTTGTAAATGCACCAGTAATTAGGATAAAAATACATTACAAATTAATAAAAAAAATTGGTTGAAAGCTACATTTAAATAAGTTCTTTATTATTCTTTGAAAGTTTTGTGTTTTTATCTGTGTATTGGGAGCCTATAACTAACAAACTCTACATCAGAATGATTGACAGTGATGAAACATTTTTACATCGTGTCATGTGATACCTGTCTGTGATGTTGTGTAAATTTTTGTGTATGCAGAGTTTCGTAAATATGACAAAATGTTATTTTATCAATGCTGAATTATTGTTATGTTAATTCATTGTTTTTTATTTGTCCTGATTTGTATTTTCTCTTACTAAAATATGTAAATAAAATTGTGAATTATAAAAAGAATAATTGCAGAAAAATTTGTGTTTTTCTTTGTCTTAGATTTAAAAAGACTAAATTAAAATCTTTAGATTACAAAAATGCCAAAGTGAGAGTATTTATGTATTTCTGTATTATTATAACTTCTTTACAAAAATGCCAAAGTGAGAGTATTTATGTATTTCTGTATTATTATAACTTCTTAGTAAATGTTAAAACTTAGTTGTATTTTACACTTAAAATAATAAATGCAGTAATGATATAAAACATGAACAAATTATTTTTCGCTCTTTTTTATTTAAATACTAAATTTTTAAGTAAAAAAAATATGTGCTTTAAAGTTTCTATAGTGTACATATGTCATAAATGTTATCTTTCAAAAATATCAAGTTAGCGTCATAAACAAATGCTGCTTTTTCTTAATTTTAATTCCGAACTGAGAATGAATTAAACTTTCTTTTTGGTTGGCTTCTCACCTAGTTGCTTAGCTGTTTCTTTAAAAGTGCAAGAATCTTGTTAGCCAGTGTTGATGAGTATGCATACTCCTTGCTTCTTCCCTTTAGTCTTCAGTTTCAGTTATAACGTGTGAATCAATATTTCAATAGAAGTACTTAAGTTGTTAGATGTAGTAAAATCAGACAGTGATTTCTTCTCTGGTTCAAGTATGTCACCTTTTTCTTATTTCCAGGCAGTTCTTGATGCATCAAAATTGAATTCTTTTGCTGCAAATAAATGCATTTGATATTGGACTTGCAAAATTTATAACAGTGTCCGATTTTCAAATGGACAAAACAGGCTGTTTTGTTTTTAAAACTTCTGGTTTTCCTAGAAAATTCAGTTTTTCTACAAAAAAAGCAATATATCCTCACATCAACAGCATATTTCCCTCCCTTTAGCCTTTAACGAATAAAAATTGAAGATACTTTTTACATGTTTTCATGCTTGATGTTTATAATAACAATCTGAACAACAGAATTTAATACTTTTTTCTTATAATAGTTTATTGAAATAAGAGTTTCCCCCCAGACATGTGACAGGTGGTTGGTGTGCATAGTCGACAACTGCCCATCTTCCCCTCCACAAGCTCTGTCCCTGGCGAGTTCAACACGCCATTTCCTGTTGAGTTGCAGTCACATAAACATGGCTGTTGCTATTGATTCTCCCGCGAAGTGTGAATTGCGAGCTAACACAGTGGAAATTCATCTACAAATAAGTTGAATGTGTGGAGACAGCTTTTGTGAGTGATGGTGTTGTTCGTGAATGGTGTCAAAAGTTTAAAGATGGCCAAACTGATGTGCATGATAAAGATGAAGGGGGTCAAGGACGCAAGTCATTCGCTACAGACGACATTGTTCAACTAGTTGACCAAGCGGTTAAGGAAAATCGAAGGTTCACCATAAGTGAATTATCGATCAAATTTCTGGAAGTTTAATGATCTGCCTTGTACTCTATCATTACTGAACAGTTACGCTACAGAAAAGTTTTCGCTCGCTGGGTCCCTCAGATGTTGACTGACAACCGTAAAACTCGCCGAATGGCTGCAGCGTTGGAGTTTCTTGACTGTTACAATACCGATGGAGAAGATTTTTTTGTACATTGTGACAGGTGATGAGACATAGGTTCAATATGACATGCCCGAAACAAAACGACAATCACAACAATTCAAAATTCACACATCTCACAAATTCTCCAAAGAGAGCCACAAAACTCAAATGAACATTCAACAAACGTAAGGTTATGGAAACTGTTTGGGGACCAAAAAGGTATGTTGCTTGTGGAGTTTATGCAGCCTGGAACAACAATTAATGCAGATTCATATAGTGAAACTTTGCAACACTTACGGAGAGCTATTCAAAGCAAACAAAGAGGCAGGCTGACTTCTGAATTGTTCTGATCCATGACAATGCTTGTTCTCATAGCGCTCGTGTAATCCAGAGGCTCCTTCAGCAATTTGAATGAAACATTTTCGAACACCCACCATATAGTCCCAACCTATCACCTAGGGACTTTCATCTTTTCCCTGAACTAAAGTAGTTCCTTGGGGAACAGTGCTTCCAAAATTTTGTGGAGCTCGAAGAAAGCATCGCAACTCACTTCCAATCATTGGTGGGAACATTTTATAAAGAGTGTATTGCAAAGCTTGTCCACAGATATGGCAAATGCATCAATCTTCAAGGTGATAATGTAGAGAAATAACCTGTATTGCACATTACTTTTGGTAATAAAATCTTTTTTGTATATTCACCCGTCTTTTCTTTATAGCTCATCGGGGGGTGTTGACAAAAAAGAGCCTACGTAAATATTTTGCACTGTAAAGAATTATTTTCATGCGCTTTGTCTGTCACAAAATATGCAATTTTTTTCTTTTATTTGATATTTTTCTTCTGCAATTAAATCAGCTACTGTCAGTGGAATAAAAGAAACAGAATATTGTTTTTTTTTTTTTTTTTTTTTTTTTTTTTTTTTAATTTTTTATATTCAATACTCACGATTTTGCCAAACGAAACCAGGGTTCGTATGGCCCTTAAGAGTCCTTAGATTTTTTGGAATCGATTTTTTGTCTTTAAAAGTCCTTAATTTTGGCCAAAATTAACAGAAGGTCCTTAATTTTAATCATCTGAAATTTCTGTCTGTTTTTACGACTGTCATTTTGAGTGGGATTAGTATTTTGAGGAATATTTTTGGCGATTCACTGCCGTATATATGCTTAGGTATGGTTATTTAATTACGGCAAAGCCTCGAGGGCTATCTGCTTAAGGGCACGGATGCCTTCGTGGAGGACTTTCTAAGGGAAACTGGCTCGTACACACGTTACACATGGGGAAAACCACGAAAACACCCATGCAGCCAGCCCGTTCGCAGGATTCGAACCTCGGACCGAACTGCCAGTGTTCAGCGACTTTACCGCTCGGCCGCTGGTGGGCCGCCGTATATATGGTAATCTTTTGAATGGGTTCATGAGTTATAATTTGTTTCTATTTCTAATATAAGTGATGGAATACTCGAGTTTCTAAGCAAGAAGTGAAACATAAGCATTTCAAAATTCATTTTTTCTAGTTAAGAGCTCTTAAACAACTTTTTATTTTGGGGATGTGAATTCTTTTATTAAACGGTTCTAAATTTGGCGACTAAATTCAACAGTTTTTTCGATTTTAAGATTAGTCTCTATAGAAACTTTTTAATTCCAAAATCAGAGTATTTTTTGACGATTTTTTTTTAAAACATTGTAACATGGATAAATTTTATTAAAATAATGGTAATATAGTGAAATTATATTTAAAAAATAACATTAAAATAAAACATTTTTATTTTTCGCTGTCATATTATAAAGTTTCATTTTGGCAACATACAATATTTTAAATCTGAAAAATAAACAAGGTATAATGCTATAAAGCACAATTTACGAAACAGCTCTTAGCAAAAGCAAAATTAGCTATGTAATTAATTAAAAATGTCTTGTTTTTAATTTTTTTCAAAGTAAGAGTTTTTCCCATGTAATTGTCTCAGAATATTCAAAATTCTCAGAATGTGCATCAGTTTTCTCTAAAATTTTATCCCTCTTACTTTTTTCCAAAATATTTCTGGCTTTTTTTCTGTTACAGAAATAGTAGGGATAATTTTTCTTTAGAATTTTAGACATTGGCTTGGAACTTTAGAAGGATTTGAAGGCAAGATTTATAGACCTACGATTCTAGAAGATTCGAGAAATATGTGACAAAATAAAAAATGTCTCCATGGTATCAACACGTAGTGGATGTATTTACAGAAAGTTTACAATGAATTCCTTAATTTGGGAACATCTGGAAGAACAATGAAAACATAATATTTGAATGTATTACTTCTGATTCTAGAATCTTAACATGTTTATCTTCTCTTTATTTTCTCTACTTTTCACTAGACAGAAGCATGGATAATAATCAAAAATGTTTCTGATCTTATCACATGGACAGACATTATAGAAAGGGATTTTTTTATTAATAAAGAAATTGAAAACTTACAATTTAAAAGATTCATCTAATATTTCTTAATGAATCATATACATAGCTGGCACTAGGCATTTTCCCACCTGATGCAATCTCTGTGGATCCTAAGTTCTGCTGCCTACTGCCTTTCTAAATTCTGCTTCCAATGCTTGCTCTAAATTCTAAAAGTTTTGCCATTTCTAGATTTTGTTGTTCGGTGTGTCACTAAATTCTAGAAATTCTGCCACATCAGCTCTGTAACCTTCCTTTATTATATATATTTCATATTGCTTCTGAATGTTCATATTACTAAAGAAATAAAATTAGCCGCTTTTTCTGTACATTCTAAATGCATTTAGTGTTTTTTAGAATAACGGAAATCCTTAATTAAATCCAAACATCCTAAATTGAAAAGGAAGTGTGTTGAAGAAAGAAACTGAGTACATAAAGAAAATTATTCTTCAAAGATATGTGCAGCTATTATTATGTAAATTACTCAATTGTTTATGATTTCAACCTTTACTATAATTTCCCATTTCTATTTCCTCATATGATAGAGTTATTGAACCAGATTAAATTACAATTAAATTGTATAATCTTTGACAACTAGTGCACATTATTAGTTTGAATTTGACTGTTCTTGTTTAATTACATCACCGTGAGTTGTAATTGATCTTGTTAGCATCAGAACATGACTTTATGTTCTAAGTTCTTATTAAATAAGAAGCTTATTCAAACCTTTGTCTGATATTGTAGTTAATTTCATACATAGTGGTATTATGCTTCACGTCTGTCAGGGGTTTTGGACTATTTAACTTTTACCAGATCATTTAAACCCTCATAGGTGCATTATGGAGAGGTTGACAAGTTAGGAGATGAAGCACGCAGAAACTGGTGAGAGCACTGCTTTGCATATTGAGACAAATCTCTAATTGTTAGAAAAGATGCTTAAAAGAGAAGGAAATCGATATAAACGTTCAAATATGACCGACTATCATAAGTGTAAAATATTTAATGCTACTTGATAAATTGCATAATTTATTTTATTCTCAAACTTATTAA